CTCTCTCTCTCTGTGTGTGTGTGTGTGTGTGTGTGTGTGTGTGTGTGTAATACGAGGCTTAAAACCAGGGCCTCTGGACTGATCTACATCTCATCCCTTTTTGATGTTTTATCTGGAGACAAAGTCTTGTTAACTTGCCCAGCCTGGGCTCAAATCCTCCTGATTCAGCCTTCTAGAATGCTGGGATAATAGGCATGCACCACCGTGTAGCTAGATGTCTTCAGCTCTATCAGTGCTATAAGGCTCTGGTCATGTAATATGGTAACCCAATTTCAGGCACTATGATCTGATAGAAGTAGAAAGCTGAGGTATCTTTTTTCACTTATCACAAGCACTACAGCCAACACTTCTACAGTAAAGGCAGACTGGAAAAGAAAGGGCATTATGAATTAATTTAATCAAAAATTTATATGAGACAAGAAACTTTAGAAATGAAAATTCAAAGGTCCAGCACAATTCTGATTTCTATGACTCACTTCAAGGAAGAAAGTAAGTTGGGGGAGGAATATGGGAGAGGATTACGAAGACTTTGTTCTGAGATTACAACACACCCCCCCCCTTTCTCTTTTAGCTTACAGTACTGGGCACCTCAAGTACCATACTTGGGGTGTTATGGTCTGAGCCAAAACAACTCACTGAGTAGCTCACAAGAGTAAGGTAGAAAAAAAAAATATCTGAAAAAAAATGAAATGTGAAAAGTGGACCCCAACTCTCATATCACTTGAACTTCAATAATTCCTTATTAAAGTTATTGTTAGTACCTTGGGATTACTGTACTATCAAGATCACAACACATTCATTAAACTCATTACATATTACTTTCTTTGGGGGGAAATATAGCTCTGTGGGAATCAAATGTTTTTATGACCTTGAAATGCTAAGAAAAAACAAATGAACAAACAAACTATTACTACTTTACACTGTTTCTGTTTTATCAGACAGAATTTCAAGAATATGCACCATTATTTTCTCCCTTGGCCAGTTTAGAAGTCTAAAGTATGGGGCAAAGTCCCCTGTGTCAGAAAAGCAATGCTGTTTTCACCTCAATAGTTTAATACTTTGATGTTTAATATGAGTCTTGAAAAGACAGGAAAAAAAAAAAAAACCCTCCACAGCAGTTCAAACTGTTCCAGTTTTTACAACTTAATTATCCCAGTGAATGAAAAAAAATAAAGACAAAAGACTTGTCTCTTTGGTGCCTTGTCCTAAAGCACTTTTAGTTATGTCTGCACATACTTTCCTAACCATATTTCCCATTCCTCTTTGAAAGTTATCTCCAGATTATATCAACTCTGCCTCAGAGTTAAGAAATCAGCTTTTCTAAATCACTGTGTAGTTTTTCCACACTTGACACAGTAAGTAATTTACAGTGTGGACATTAGGTGTCTCTGGTTAGACTGCAAACCATTGTGTTTATTCTACTTTTGCTATGACATTGTGAAATGTATTGGTAAAAATACTGATATAATCTTAAACTTTTTTATCCATCAGCATCCCATTGTTTCTAATCTGGTAAACTTCGGAATTAAAATCTGGTTCCATATGTTTCTTTGATGTCCACAAAGAGAGAATTAAGTCATTTGCCCAGTGTTGGCTGGTGACTAGCACTGCACTTCTCTAACTTGCTTGTTCTATCTGAATGAATTCTAAGACATTATCTCATCCCTTGAAGGCTGTAGACCTACACCTTTACCTATAAACTGGCACCCCAGTGGACTGGAGTTCTGCTGTCTTTCTGGGCGCTGCCAGTACTCTGACCAGACCCCTTCACCTGCGTTCCTCCAGTCCAGATTCTTCTCTGCACATCAGTTCCAGCTGAAGGAGCTTAGGACATTGCAGTCTAAAATATGCTATTTGTGTACATCAATTACTTTGAATCAAAGGCACTTGGAAAATAACAAATGAGGCTCTCTCTGAACTCCCTTAACTGACTAAAGATAGATCCTTCAAAAGAAACACAACTACCTTCAGTCTGCTCTTGAGGAGTTTCATCAACCAGGAAAAACGAACTCTTATCATAGGAAAGTATATTAGAAATCTTTTAAAATTTTACTGGTGCAATTCACACTCAGAAAAAGCTTGTCGCAAACTATCTCTTGTTTTTCCAAATGTCCATTCTTCTTTCTGCAAAGTCCTTTCCTTTCCCCTAAACTGAATCTATCTTTCCTTTCTTCTTTCCTAAACTTTATTGGGTTTGAGGCTCTTCACATTTCTTTTCTGGGCTATCCTATTCACATAATGAATCAATATATCTTTTCTGTTAATCTGCATATTGTCAGTTTGTTTATATAGACTCAGTTTTTCAAACCTCAGATGATAGAGGTCAGGTGATAGAACATTTACAAATTAGATGTTCTGAAGGAAAACTTCCAAATTTTAGACTGGTAGTATAAAGAACGAAACTAAGAAATAAATATTTGTCAATTATAAGCCACTCAGTAATTGAATTGTGTTAAAACAGCCCAAATAAACTAATCTTATCAGGAGACACAACACTATTAGAATATAAGCCAGTTCTCCAGTTTATGACTTTCTGCCTCGGATGACTATGAGGCCTTGCTTAACATGTGAAGTTCTCACAGTCTTAAGTGCCTTACTTGTGAATAAAAGAGGGAAGACAATGTCATAGACTCAGGTTGGGGAATCAAAGATGGAAAAACTGACAACGATATCAATGCATCACAAAAGTAATCCAAAATTAGTAGGGAGACAACAGTTCTCAGTGAGTATCTCATGTTTGGAAATATCGGTAGTCTTTGTTTCAGAAAATATGCTCAATTATGTTTTTATACCAAACAACCATGGATGATAGATGAAGGCACCACTGCAACAGCCAAGCATGCTAACTACCTATTATAAAATACTCAGGTCTCCTAAACTCCTTGTTTCTCGTATAGTGCAGTCTACTGCATTATTTATGTCACTCTGTGAGAATCGTGACTCAAGAAATCATTGAGAATGTTAACATTCTGGTTGTTGGCATTCTTACAAGTAACAAAATCCATGGTCTCTACTATAGGAATATATATTTTCTGCTAGCATGCATCAAATAGCAGCAGACTAATGTGTTACCTCTCAAAATCGCAGATTCTTCATAGCTCTTCACAATCAGTATTAGTTTTTAATTGTATTCTAAGTTCTAATTATAGCGAACACTCTAAATTAAACAGCTTGATGTCTTCTTTTATGCTGTCTTACAGTTATATATATGAAGAAATATTATGATCTTTTCCCTTTGAAATCACCTTGTCTTATTCTCCACTAAAAAGGACTCATCTCTAAGATGACTGTAATTTACAGCATAATTCTATGTTTGGTAAGCCAAATGACAATTTCAAAAATGCTTCCAATTTCTAAGCAGTTGATAGAATTAACTAGCATGGGATTATTTTCATTGATGAGGGGCAAAAAAGTATATTGTGGATTTTCTAATAAAACAAAAAATAAAATTCAAACACTATAAACAACTGTTAGAGATGTGGCAATGAAGGTTAGAGTTAGAGCCAGACTTTAGTGTGGGATGTGGTAGCTTCAATGATCAGGTCTTTGGAATAAAAGCCTATAAGAAATGGTACGCCTATGAGAGCTAAACTTCCAATAATGAGAGAAGAAGAGGTAATAGGCAGAATTTTGAATCATCCTATTTTTTAATATCTTGTTCTTCGTTTAAATTATGAATGACTAAGCAAACAGTCAAGTATGAGTTTATCAATTCCCAATTCAAATCCTCAGTACTATAGGAAAACATTATTTTATAGGCTTTTCCTTCTATATGTATATATGTATATGTATATATGTTCCTCCTATATGTATATACATATACATATACACACACATTCATGACCAAGTGCCAGCATCTCTCCAAATTGTAAATACACAAATAAATCCTAAAGTTTAAAATAAATGCCAAATAACTTCTATACATGATCATATACGTTCGAGAATTCTTAAATACTATCCTTTAAATATTAAAAATTTTCTCCACAGCCCTAATTTTAAAAAACAAATTCACTAAGTATGTTTTGTTCAAAGCAATGATTCCACTGATATTTTCACTGTGCTAGAGCATTTTCTTAATTGTCTCCAATGTCATTCTCTAATTATCTGAGGGATCTCTTTGGTATTTTGGTAAGCCAATGACAATTAAAATAAAAATTCCAGAGGGGTAAAGCAGAAGAGGAAAAGCTACAAAAATCTGATTTGATTTTCCTATCTTTCCCCCTCCCCATTACCAAGCACCTAATCCCCTCTCAAACACTACAATAGAACAGCTAGACATAAAGAAAAGGAGATAAAATTGATCAGCCAGTACATTGTTCTTGCTAATCTGAACCATTTACATAAGAGTTAGAAGTCTTGTTTTATCATTTAAACAGATTTAAAATCTCTTTGCAAATGAGATTTAGTTCTTACAAAAGAATGAATTCAAGCTATTTAATGAATTTCTGCTAAACCAGCACTGGGAGCTGATTTGGCAATAACTAGAAGCTACTTCTTTGGCCACATATACTATATTCAAAGTTTGCTTCCAGGTGCCAAAACTGAAAAGCACCAAACTGATTAAATTCTTTCCAGGAGGTGAGCAGGATGAGGGGCAGGTTAAAAGGCCAATATTGTCAGATCTTAAACTGTACCTGGGCAAACTCTTCATTATGCAGATGCTTTAAAAGTGTCTTTGAACGTTCAAAGCCCTTTGAGTCTTCCTTTGAAAGGGAAAAGAAGGGCAGACAGCAAATGAAATTCGGAGAAACAAAAAGACTTAAGCTAATGTCAAGCTGTGAGTCAAGACAATCTAAACTCTTTGATTCACTGTTGGTTTGAGTGGTGTTGAGCAGAAGGATAAAGTACATAACTACCTCCCTTACCAATGTTAGTAGAAAATAATAGTTAGAAGGGAATGATTTTCCTAACAGAGAGGAGTATATTCTTTGCATCAAAACTTTAGATTTTAAACGAAACCAAAATCATGTTTATGTGTACAATAACATTATGTGTTTTACCTGGCACACCTTGAACAGATATTCAGTGTGACTTTGGCCTGAGGCTCAGCAGGATGAGCAGGACGGCCTTGGTTGAATTTGCCCCCAGAAGGTATAAGGGTTGTGACTCCTTCCATTCTTAAATCATCAAGATCCTCTGGAACAAGACAAAGAATGATAGAGAAAAAAGTTAAATCTAGAAAATAAAGAAAAGCATACAGGTTTTCAGATATATAGGTATATAGATTTTCAGTCATTTGTTAAGCAAAACATAATCACCCTTTAAAAATCTAACCTCATACCTAAATTATTTTTCAAATCATTTCAAGATGTAATTATAATTCATATGTAGTTATAATTAATTATTAATTTGGAGACAAATTATATAATATTTATGGGAGACAAAATGCTGAGAGACTGAAGATACAATTAGTAGAACGCATGTGACAATAGAACACAGATCCATGAACTGCTACAAGCAGCCCAAAATGGTCAGGTCTTGGCCAATGAGTTCCAACTTCCACATTCTATACTTTTGCTTCCAACTAATGCTATAGGCAACTAAATTAAATGAAAATATTACAGGTAGTCAGACAGGGCTAGTACCTCAGAGGAGCCAGTGCAGAACAGATATTGGCAGCCTTAGGGGAGACAGACAACTCTGCTGTTGGCTGGCTCTCAAGACAAAAAGCAAAACAAATGCAACCATACCTTAAGTAAAAATATCAGGGATTTATATTCTAAATAGTTATGAATCGCCCTGATTAAGCCAGAAGGAGCCATTAGCCCAATCTCTTAACAGCAAAGACCCTATCCTGTATCCATGACTGCTTGCTATATGACTCACCTCCTCATTTGATCCCAGTTTAATCAATTTTACCTGCACAATTACACTCATAATCTTACTGGTTGACCATAGTTCTGTCCTACCTCGTGCCCACCTGCCTTGCAAGTTCCCATTTTTGCCCACCATGGACCTGCCTCACCTCGTGGTTTTGCTCTATAAAAGTCCCTGAAAAAGACAAAATCCTCAACACACTTAGGAACAATAAATATGTCAGCTCTTAACTTCCATTATTCCTAAAATTCATTCTCTGATTTTAGAGAACATGAACTTATGCCAGACATCTAGTAGGCTTGGACTTTTATTTCCCTATATCACTAAGAACCAACCAGAAAAAGCCAAATATTTTCTGAAACCAGTTTTATAAATCTTTCTCTTCCAATTAGCTTGTTTTCAGCTCCCCCCTCCAGAACGCTCCAATCAGGATATACCTGAAACTGTAACCGTGGATATTTCTTTGGACATTGCTCTTCGCAGATTTACTTTTGCTTTTCTTCCTTCTGCTTATCTAAAAAGTTAAGTCCCCTCTCCATCCCTTTTGCAAGAATTGTGTCTCTTCTTTTTCACCTGGCATTTCATATTCCAAAGAAAGCTGAATCTGAATAATTAAGATATTAATCACTAAATAATGTTCTTTACGGAACCCAGGAAATCTGGTGACCTTCAGATCTTAGTGTTAGTTCTGTGCACATAAATCGATGTAAGTTTTATCTTGCAGAACAGTAATTTCTATTTGAAGAACTAGTCCCATGATATTAATGTTGTAGCCAGGAAAAAGAAGAAAAAGACATGCTCTGGATGATAAAGTCCTCACTAAGCATTTCACCTGGCAAGCATACGGCCCTTACCTCGCTGCACCTACTTCCTCTTCCTATAGGAGCCCTTTGCATCCTTGAGTTCTTGAAGGTAGATTCCAAGGACAGAACACTCCTTTCCTCCTTCAAGGTGACAGCCCTTGAATAAGCCAGATTTCCTGCTCACCAATGCTCCTCTTCCAAATACTGGCTTGCAAGTGGTGATCAACATGACTAAACACTGGGCAACTGTTTTGTTTTATTTTTGTCTTTTTTGCTTTTTATCCGTACCAGGGATCAAACTCAAGACCGCACACTTGCAAGACAGGCGCTTATGCTGCTGAGCTTAACCTGTAGCCCGCTGGGCAACTGTTTCACTCTTTCCTTTATTGCTGGAGATAGTCATTCTCCAGGTCACAAAAGCCCCTTCCCATTTTTTTTTCCTTTGGTCTTCAATCAAAACTTAATAGATATAAATTTTCTAGTGATTCAGTTCTGATGCAAGATGCACATACTCTGTACCTTCATTTGAGGAAAATAAAGGCTTATACAAAGTACTTCATCGATGTACTAGCTTTCATATATATTGTTTCCCAAAAAAATTATGATTTTGCTAGATAAAATTCATCATGAAAGACAATGGCATAATATACATAAGGAATAAATCATTGGTAAACTGAAGGTTACAACATAAGCTAACTGTCCCACATAAACAATGGAAAGGATTCTAGGTTTAACTGGATATTATAAACAAGAAGTATCCAGTTTTCCTTAGATGATGACAACTCTTAGTCTAAAACATGAATGATTCCATAATCTGAAGAAAGCTGCTCAACAGATTCCACCTATAGGCAACCTTAAATAAAAGTCATCTATTTGTACATAGCAATCTGGAGAAGCCCTTAGAGTTTTAACTCAACATCATGGGAGGCAACAAAAACTCATTTCCTTGACCTAGTCATAAAGGCTTAACCAAGTCCCTTTTTGTTGTTGTTATTGCTTTGGGGTTTTGTTTTGTTTTGCTTTTGTTTTTGTCTTGTTTTCATAGCTGTCACTTTGTGACATTTTATTTTTTCTGAATTAGTTATTGGCTTTTTTGTTGAACTGATGTTTCCTGGGGAAAACACTGCCTCAGACACAACCGTTTCTATGTAGCAATTGACCTTTCACAAGATTCTGTTAGTCCCTTTTTCTGTTTACTACTGTAAAACCCTAATGTTTGCTGCTTCTACTAGAAAAATGGAACTGTTACCAATCAATTGAGGATTCTTTTTGTCCAATTCAGATGGAAATCTTTAATTGCCAAAATGCTAGCTCCTTTGGAGTTAGTGATCCTGATTTTGAATGTCTGTGATTCTAATCCCTTAGTGTCACAGCTCTGGGATGTCAGTGCTAATACCTCGTAGCTCTAAGTGCTGTTGCTCTTGGAATTATAGTTTTCAGTGTTATGGCCTCTGGGAGCTTCTGGCCGCCACTATTTTATCAAGGACAGGTTTAGATTGAGACAGCTAAATACAAAGACAATATCACACCTGCTGAATTAAGAGATAATTCAAGCCATACAACTAGTTAAGGTTAAAAAACATAAAGTTACATAAGAAGAATAAAAGCTAAAATAAGAAAGGAGATAAAGACCTAAACTTAAAAAAAACCTTAAAAACGCAATTGGTTTCCTTTCCTTTGAACCCTAAACCCCACAAATATATCTGTTGAAAACAAGTGTCCACACTCTGTTTATCTATGTAAAGCCCAAGCAAAGAAAGCACACTCTCAGTCTCAGTTCTGGAATCCCCTTAAGTTAGATAGGTACCAAGAGATTTTTACCTTATTATTATTTCAATAAACACTCTCCTAAATTTATCCTTTTATCTGTGATTTCATTCTTCAACTTAATGAGAAAAAGGTTGTTTGTACAAAGTTAACTGTTTCAGTCTCAGCTCCACCCACATCAGAATCTTACAGGTTCCACTGTAAGGTGGTGTTCTGGAACCCTACAGGCACTGCCTCTCTGGGGCACAATGCTGCTGATGACCCAGATTTCATGGTTTTTTTTTTTTTTTTAAATCCTCCTTCACCTCAGATGAAGACTTTGAGCTTCTGCCCATCTCCACTAATGGCTTCCCCTCAGCTTGTCTTCTGTCCTAGCCTTTGCTAGAAACTTGGGTTGTTCTGTTCCTCACTTCCCCCTTCTTCACCTGGGATCTTTTCTGGGCTGGTCCTACCTGAGCACCAGTTTTTGCTCTCCATACTGCTATAGTTGTGGTATCCCCAACTTTTAAAGATTAATAATCACTGTTGATAGCAAGCCCTTTTAAAGCAGGCTGGTCTGCTCCATTCTGTCTGATACCCAATCACCAAGATGAATACAGTCTTTTAAGTGAGACCTTTGTTAGGACCTGTTCTGTAGCTCAGTAATATGCTGCTCTGAGAGAGCTCTACAGATGGGGTAGGGTGAGCCAAGGAACACTCCTATTTGAATGAGGAACAGGCCATACAAGTGCAGTTTCCTGCATCTTATGGACCTGGTTGACAACTTGGAAAAGTGTCAGGGAGGAGGAGCCATCCAGAGTGATCATAAAACAGAGCCAGCTAGGACAGGCCTGTTTTCAAGGCTGTTGGAGCAGTTGTAGGGCACCTGTGAGTGCCTCAGTTGTCACAAGGAAAGCTTGGCAGACAGTTCCTGTGCTTCCATGCAATGGTGGACCAAAATCCACGGCTGCTGTGATATTTTTGGCATCTCCAAGAGCAACTGTTGTTAATCATGGACAACTGCGGTTAAAGGGGCCCTGGAGAATACCAACAATGGGCACCAGTGCCTGCCAAATCTTTGTCAGTCGGAACAATTCTTTTAATTGCTTACCAACAGCAGTGCTTGAGGCAAAAGAAGAACCACAAGTCAGGTCATGGCCCTTTACGGCATTCAGTGGTAAAGAGAAGGATTGGGCCTCTTTCCTACCTCAAAAACCTCATGAATTTTTTAAAAAATCTGTTAAAGAGTTTTCTGTATTTCATTCAAGAGGTTTTTTTTAAGAATTCATATGGAAAATCCTAACCCAGTTATTATTTGGTGACAGAACATTTAAACTTTAAACTAGAGATTAATATGTAGGATATGTTAATAGTTGGGGCTCAGAAAATGATACTACCCATGTATAGTGTTTGTCATGCAGAGGCAGAGAAACCTTAGAGTTAAAGCCTCTCCGGCTTGCCCTCTCCTTGTCTGTTGATCAACTTTTATTCTTTTTTCTCTGGAAGTACAGAGAAGGGCTTTTTCTAAAATTTCCATACCTAAACAGAAGACAGTTCATTTCCAGAAAGAATGCAATTTGGAAATCTCATTAACTGGGAAAGTTTAACCATAAAAAGAAGCTAAAAGTCAAATAACACACCTAGAGTCCACAGAGATTTTGTCTCAGATCATTAATTGTTCCTTGAGTCCATTCAATTTCTAAAATTATAATGTTCTACTCTTTGTATTGCTTACATCCTTCCATTTCCTTTTTTCCTATGAAGAAGTGT